ATTTTGTCACTGTACTAAAGGCCAATCAGATTATTAAAACACTTGTGCAGGCTTAACTGTAATTCAGATAATCAAAATGCATACTGCTAACACTTCATATTATACACCCTCTAAAATAATTTGCACCTGATTTGTTTACTCATGTACGGTTATTTATGTTGGATCTCAATCTTCATCTGACACCTGTTGAATTGGTCTTTGAAAGAAAGACCTAACTATTTATATAGCGTGAGGCCTAAGGCATGGTGTAAAATGGAATAGTAAGGGAGATACTGAAAACCAAACCAGTATTTCTGTAGCGTTTCCATCTGCTTCCATTCAAAAACAGACACCGGAGCACACACAAATGCATGCATACACACCCCCGATGACTCATTGTTTTTAGCCATCCAACAATACCCAGTTCTTATGACTTTTCCTCTGTTCGCATTAAAAGGGGTCCCCTAGTGACTTCTTAGCTGCTCTGAGCATGAGGCAAACTGCGATATTTTAAAACTGTTAAAGATATGTACCAGCTATAAAACTGAAAACTGCTCAGGAAGTTTAACAAGCACATCAGCAGTCAGTCTAAGAACAGGTCTGGCTTTTAAAACTCTTCATGACGCTGAGTTTCACAAAGTAGCTGCATCCCAAACAAAGGTTGGACTACTGGTTATGTAAACTCTCTATTGAGCTGACACTCCAGCAGAGAAGAATGAGTTATGTCAATCCAGAGCTTTATGGCTAAAAAAAGCCATCGATAAATAAGACATGCTACATTTGTACTGTGCTGCATATGTTCATGTTTTGTTCATGAAAAGCAAGAGTCATTATAAATAAAATTGCTGTCATTTTGCAATTTTCAAGCTAAATGTTAAATAAACATCAAAATTTAACATCAAAATGAATTATTATATTAAATAAGCTTTATATATATATATATATATATATATATATATATATTGTCATGCCCCTGGACTTCTGTGTTCCTGTTTTGATTGTGTTTTCCTTCCGCATGTGCTCCGTGACCTAGTTTTCCCTCTTGTTTGATTGTCATTCCATTCACCTGTGTTCCCTTAATTATCCTCATTAGTTCCTTGTTACTTAAGCACAGTGTTTCCTGTGTCTAGTGTTCGGTGTCGTTAACATTATAGTGGTTGTGTTTTCCTAGTTCTCTAAGTTTTCTGTATTTGAGTTAAAATAAAAATATGGTTTCCTGATCTTGCTCCTACGTCGTGCTCTTCACAGCAGCCATTCGTGACATCTCTCTCTCTCTCTCTCTCTCTATATATATATATATCCTGAGAACCAGAAAAAAAGCTTTGTGAATTTAGTATTTTTTTCATGTCATTACACTGTTTAGAGCATAAGAAAAAAATGGACACCAGGACTCAGTTTCTCTAAAAAAATAAAAATTACATGAATAAACATGAAAAGGCAAAAACAATGGGATTTTTTAAAAATCACCAATTCATAAATTTTTAGGTTTCAGGATTTTTTTTATACCAAACTTTGTATAAGGATGATTCTCTACTATGTTATAAAAGATATAACAAAATGATTTGATATAGGCTACCATTTTACTTTATGTAATATGTGTGTACAATTTCCATAAACTGGTTTTCCCATTAAACACAATGTATCTATACACTGTACTAATTTCATAAGAATATTGATATATCATTTATTTTCCTATTAATTTGTTGTGTCTCCCAACATGCATAATAAACATGCTTTTAGTCCTGGTGTCCTCTACAGTGGACATGTATGAAATCAATATCCTGTTTCATAACAGGAAGTCATATTTTGGTTTGAAACCCCATAACATTTTTCTGAGATGTTGATTTATGACAAACAATTTGAAAAGTAATCAGATTTAAATTATAATTACAAAATATTATCATATTTCCATAAGGATGTACAATTTTATCACTAAATTAATGTCAGCCATTTTCAAAGACCAAGCAGAGGGAGTGGTCATGGAGAAACATTTGGTATCTCTGAAAAGTCCTGAATGTGCTCTGTACGGGACAAGAGAGGCGGGGCATAGAGGACCTACAATAATGCACAGTATTTGAAAAATAATGTGTTTTTTGAACATTAAAGCATGTCAACATATTCTGTTACACCAAATACACCAAATAATGATCTTTAAAAAAGCATCATATGACCCCTTTAAAACTGTGACATGTGAACTCTCAGAGAAATTCACTAAAATAATATAATGTCCACTACATAGTACATATATATATATAGGATACGAGGAGATATATATAAGCATACAGAAAAAGTCTCAAACATTGTGTACTTCTATTTAAAAAGTCATGAGACACCAAAGCTATTGTAAATGTGGACAGAGTCTGTGTACACACTGGCCATGACCACAGTCAATAACAATGTCATTACATCCAAATAATCACAGTAAAAACTCTGCTGTTGCTGTTTACTTTTCTGAATGAAACAGCCCACTGTTGAGTAGAAGTTTGCGCTGTAGACGGAATAACCTGTTGAATCTATCCCACGAAACTGGACACAGAAGAAGAAAAAGGGACGACGACGCCTCTGTTTGGATAGGCTGCAGGTATGTCTCTCAGAAAGGGGCGGACACCAGCCCGCACTTTTAAATGAACTTGATGTTAAAAGCACGTCTAACCTTGACGGACTGCGAGAGCTCGTGTTCGTGCTCGTGGGAGGGTAGTTGCTGTTTCGTTCATTGTGGGCGTTGTATGTGAGGTGTACCTGTCCTGGAAGACGCGTCAGGTAGTTGAACGACAGACACCAGCAGAGTGGGATCCTAACTGTGCCATCTTAGCAGACGGGTGTTGGAGACTCCGCAACTGTCATCATGTTCAAGAAAAAGACCTCAAAGAACAGCGTGGCCATCAGTGATAAAAGGTCGGTGGCGACCGGATACATTAATCACTCTGCATTGTTTTGTTGCGCTCCGCTCTTCTAATTTCGTCGTTCCGGAGTCATTACGGAGCGCGCGATCGAGTGTTTTAACTGGGTTGCGTTTCATTGTCGTTTGGATTGTAGTAGCCTACACTAGCCACGTTGCACAAGCTAACCCGTATTTTAAAATCGATCTTTCTGCTAAATCGGTTTTATGCTTGCTTGACTTGAGGTTACTGTAGTAAGGGTGTGGCGCTGTAACAGGTCGGATAACTTCTCTCTGAGATATATATTGTGTGTTTTCTCTGTAACTCGCCTGGGTTTGTCTCAGTTCACATATTAAACTTTTTTTGTGCTAGTGACAAAACTATTAAAATTACATTTTTATGTTTGGTTTTTAACTGTAGGAAAAATGTTTATAGCGAGGGAGTGTATGTGTTGAATGTTTGCACTGAACGTAAATAGATTCTGGACTATGTCTAGACCCTCATCTCTTTCTGATGAACAACTAGATAACCTTCAGACAGATCTTTTAGTTCTGACACTCCATTTGAGTTCAGGCAAGACAGTCCAAGGTGAGACTGACAGGACTGAATAAACTATTTTGTCAAATAGAAAAGTAGTTTTTGGTTATTCTGTACTGAACAGGGTTGAGTGATGTAACTGCGAAATGCATATTACAGGAATGTGCATTAGTAATTTAAATTAGTTGACAATAATCAACATTTCATTGTTCTTATTGTTTATAGTTCTCAAGTTACATATGTATCAGAACAGGATGGAGTCAAAATGTGCAGGGAATGTTTAAAGAAAGCTGATTGGTTAAGGATAGAAGTGTAATCGGAGTGACAAGTTCAAACAAGCATAATCTACTGATGGATTGAGAGATGAGTCTGGCCTCCAGCTTCGTTCCAGCAGGATTCAATATCGGACACTAATATTGTGAAAGCAGTGCAAGGGTTTTATTCTAGGAATATAGTTTCAGTTTGAGTCAAAATTATTTTATTGGTTACAGAGGTACAAAAAAGAGGTTTTTCTAAACACATAGTTTTCTGTTTAGGTCATATTTGGGTGTTGTTCGACTGCGCTATGCACAATGGGTCACTCAGTGTCAAATGTGCCAAGTTTTGTGACTTGTCTGTCTGCTTTTGACAGAAACAAGGCATGGCAGATGGGCAGTTTGTTTGCAGTGGGTTAGAAAGGACAAAACCTTAGGCAAGTTCATAGCACTGTTCTTAAGATGCCCACATTTCTTATTTTATGTTTTTGCATTCTGGATATTGGAACGCCTCTAGGGAAGGGAAGCGAGCATTAAATAATTACTTGCCACACCCAGAACTTCATCTCAAATCCGATTAAATAATTTTCTTTAGGCAGCAGTTTAAATGTCGCTGCTTGTCCCATTATCTGTGTTATATAAATCTGGCAATTTTTCGTATATAAATATGCAGCTTTGTTTTTGTATGTATTGCTGCTTTAATAGTTGTTTTTATAAATTGTTTTTATAAATTAAAAAATTACAACAACATTGGTTACATAATCTCATGCTTTAACAGTCCAGCTGTATTTTGGAACCCATTTTGATGGGTTTTAGATGCAGATGCATTCAGATAAGACAACACAGAAAGTCTTTTTTTATCTTTTCTTGCATGTATAGTGACACATTAGTAAAACTTGTTAGACCTGTTTGAGTTTCTAACGCCCTCATTAAAAACACCTTCTTGTTGTAATTATCAGCCTCATTTACATAGCTCACTCATAGCTCAGTTCTACAGTGAACACAAAACTGTAAATGAAGACAAAACTGTGTTGTATTTTTTGACAGGACATTATCATTTTAGTCAGCGTGAGATATTTATAACTGCCATTAACATGCACTAACCTCCTTATTAATGATTCATACTGTTGGATGTTAAAATAACATGCCTTGTCCTTGAGGCAAATACGGCCCAAGGTGTGTAATTCATTTCTGATCAAGTTTAGTCATGTCTACCATGCACTGTCAAATGTAATTTCTCTAGAATTCGCAGAATGCACTAAAAACTGTGCTAGGCTGCTGTAATGTTGAACAGCATTTCTGCATTTTTTTTCAGTACGGTTCAGCTGAGAGAACATTTTTTGTTAGCACCATGGTTCTCCTAACAGATCTGAAGTCTGTGCCAGATGATGTGGAATCAATGAAAGTGTTTCAAGTAGGGCTGCCACTAATGACTATTTTTATTTCGATTAATCTATTGATTAATTTATCAATTAATCGATTAAACTTAATGATTAATTTCCCCCCAAAAATCAACAATTTCACTTAAGAATATTTTATTAAACTATATTTTATTAAACCAAATGAAATCCAAATTTCTATGAAATCCTTTTTTTAAAGCAAAAGTAAAGTTAAATATTTTTATTTAGCTTAAACTTTTTTTTTTTCAATTAGTTGCCAAGTTGCCAACATTTCTAATTGTCGCTTGAGTTTAAGTTTAAATTGTTTATCTAGTATTTGTAAAAAAAAATAAAAAGAATAATAATTAATCGTTTTAATTTGTGGTGAATGCCAATGGGAAGAAACATTAAAGTGACAGTTCACCCCAAAGAATTGTCATCATTTACTCACCCTCATGTCATTCTAAACCTGTATGACCTTTTTTGTCTTCTGTGGAACACAAAATAAGATATTTTGAAGAATATTTCAACTGTTTTGTCTCTACAATGAAATTCAATAGGGTCCAAAACAATGATGGACCCCACTGACTTTGTCTATATGGTCAAAAAACTAAATCATTCTGATATATGATTAAATACAAATATTCATATTTTTCTAAATATCTTCTTTAGGTAAATGAAAGGTCATACAGGTTTGGAACGACATGTGAATGAACCATCTCTTTTAACTATTGATACATAACTATCCTCAGTTGTGTTGCTCATTGTTGTTTCTAGGATATCAAGAAGATCAATGAAGGCAAGCAGCCCCTGTACCAGGAGGACACCAACAAGAGGATCCTGAACTCACTGGAGCTGCTGAATAGTCTGGATGACGATGCAGCCCAAGCCTCTCGTTTGCAGCACCCTCAAGCTGAGATGATTGAGAAGGAGTGAGTACTAACATCATAACTCTGTCTATTAAGTCACCTTTAAACTGAAATATCCAATAGCATCTCATGCTTTGTGCCATGCAGGCAGAATTATATGCTGTGAATGCTTTTGTTGTGATTTTTGCTGGGATTGTGGATGACTCATTTTTTTCTCCTCAATGGAAAAGTATGAAACAGCTGCGAGTGCGTGTGATGAAGCTCCACGAGGAACATGATCGCATTTACCGCATCACACGAACAGAGCAGGTTCCCACTGTCAATTGGGGAAAGATAGTTGATGAGAAACTGGTGTGTATCTAAACATACCTCTCTATCTTGCCTTTGAATATATTCAGTTTCTGTCTGGTGTTGAGGTTATTCTAAACTATTCTACTGAATCCCAAATAAGTGTACACACACACACACAACCAAGTCAATGTCAATCAAACACAGGAGTCATGCGAAGTGCCGATTTTTTTCAAACCAGCTGCCCCGACCTTCCGATACTGCATGGCGTTCGAAGCTTCAAACGTCATCAATCACGTGGTATTGTCATTTCGATACAAGCATAGGCAGTGTGTGATACATAATAGTGCTTTGAAAACTGCATCGGAGCCTCGGTATCAATAGTCCCATCACTAGGCAAATGTGAACAACAAAGGATACGGACAAGATCTGCTGACCGTCGAGAATGAAGTGGAGGAGCACAATATTTTCCACAGTGAAGTCGAGGCACTTGCTCCGTACATCACTGGAGACCGGGTACTTTTTAACTGACTCTTTTAAAATGCAGTGCCGAATAAAAGAAGAATAGTTGACTCTTTTGAGCAGTCATGCAAATGACATCTGCGACTCATCTGCTTACTTGCATAACAGGACGGTGTGGATGGCCAGCAGGCGAAGTACAACAAACTACTGGTGAGATTTAATTTTCTGCATTTTCTAATTTTCAACCTAGATATGAAGACTGAAGTTGTAATAGTAAGTTGTCAATTCTAAAACACTGTGGATTTGACCATGTCCATCTCAGGCGAGCTCCACTGCACGTCAAAAGAACCTGCTCAGTCTGAGGGACTACATGCAGCGCTGCACCAACGAGCTCTACTGGATGGAACAAGCTGCCCCGACCTTCCGATACTGCATGGCGTTCGAAGCTTCAAACGTCATCAATCACGTGGTATTGTCATTTCGATACAAGCATAGGCAGTGTGTGATACATAATAGTGCTTTGAAAACTGCATCGGAGCCTCGGTATCAATAGTCCCATCACTAGGAAACAGTCTAATGTGTTTTATGGATTCTCGTCCGTGAAATGCGCCACTTCCGGTATTTTGCCGGTTAGTCGACGCGAGCAAAATGAGGTCAAAGATTTTTTTTTAAATCGAATAGTCGAATAAAATCGACGAATCGCGACAGCCCTAGTTTCAAGTCCGGTATTTATTTTCAGAGCATCTCAGCATGACAGAGAAGTGAAGTGAGGTGCTTCTGTCCTAGATCCAGAGATACAGCCTAACAAACCTACTACATTTGCAGCATTATTTTGGGAAATGCAGACTGAAATGTGTATATTTGGCTCTCTGAATCTATGTCAAACTGCTCCCACAAAAACTTCCTATTATTTCACCTCAGACCACCTGATACTGATTTGGCGACCCTGATTGTCAAGTTGCAGAAGAATGCAGACAAGGTGGAGAAGAACATCATTGAGACAGAACAGAATTTCAACAGGGTAAGTAAAGAACGACTCTATCTGTGGATTACAAATCAAAGCCAGAGAGTTAGTCACTCTTCCTGTCTTCCCTACCATTAAGCATGTTAATGCCCCTTCAAAGACATCAAATTAGGCTTATTTGGGGTAAAATAGCGAAGGTGTATGCCAGTGTTATTTTAGTATTATTTATATATTATTATGGCATTTTGAATTAGCTTTTATTTTTTATATTCATAAAAAATATTTTTTTCATAGACATATATATA